CTGTGGAATTTTTTTTATATTAATATTCAAAAATAATTCCTGTATTTTTTTTTAAATTCTAAATCGTTAAAATAAGTTGTTTTTGACTTTGAATAATATTATCAGTGTTTTCACACTTTTTTTTATTTATTTTTAAAGACCAGTAGCAAGTCTGGTATTATAGTTTGCATTACTTAATACGAAAGTAGTTTGTTTAGTTAGAATTGAAAAATATTTGCAACTGGTTTATTATAAATTACAATTTTTATTATTAAAGAAAATTATTTTTCTCCTTTAATTTTTTTTTCTCGTGAGAATTATTTCGATATGTAAATTAAAGTTGTTTACGAATTCTTGTTAAATTATTGTTTATTTCTTGGATGTTATTTCGTTTAAATAACTTTTTTTACTCGAAAATTAGCTTTCATGCCGTTTATTTATTTTCTTAGTATTTTTTTTTTTAGTTTTTATTTTTTCTTTAGTATTTATTTATTTTATAGTATTTATTTCTTTCTTTTAGTATTTATTTATTCTTTAGTATTTATTTATTCTTTAGTATTTATTTATTTTTTAGTATTTATTTATTTTTTTAGTATTTATTTATTTATTTCTAGTATTTATTCATTTATTTCTTCTAATATTTATTTATTTTGCAAACAAGTATTTTATTCATATTTTCAAATTGAATTAAGTTTCGATTATCAGAATTAAAAAGTGAATTCGAAACTAGGAAAAATTTCGATGAATTTTCTTGAAATTTGGATAAATTTAAATTGTCCCTAACTCGTTGTTTGATATTGTTTGTTTATTTACAAAAATATATTATGTATAATATTTATTAATTGCTTTAATGTTTTAATCTTGAAATACAAGTTTCGTTTTACTTGTTATATAGTAAATTTAAAATCGTGCAAGTTTTATCGGTGATTAATCAGTATTTTCTACACTTACACTCAAGTTTTATCAGATTGTTTCAAGTGATTAAGATTTTAGTGACTTTAACGCTTGGCAGCTGATGTAATGATAAAGCCAGTTCTACTTAGTACTTAGGAGAAAGATAATTACAATAATTGCAATGTAAACGCAGCATTCAGTCTTCGAAATGCTTATTATTATTTTTCTCTTTGTCAATCTCGTTTTTACATTCTCGTTTATTGTTCATTAAACATTTATTCCCGATGAACTATATTAATACTTTTCTTTTAAATAATATTCTTTAAATAAAAAATTTTAAAAAATCGCATCTTTTAGTTGAAAATAAATTGAAGAAATAATTATTTGCTTTTTTATTTAATTTTTGTATTCTATTTAATTTTCTTTTATTTTTCATTGTATTTTATTCTTTTATTTTTAATTTTTTTAGTTATTTTCTTTACTAATTTTTTATTACAGATTTATTTTTTATTAAATTTCATTTTTTTCTCCTATTTTCCATTATTTTTTATTTGTTCGAATTTTTATTATTATGTATTTTACTCTTTTATTTTTCATTGTATTTTATACTTTTATTTTTCATTTTTAGTAATTTTCTTGATTAATTTCTTATTGTATTTTATTTTTTTAATTTTTTATTAAATTTTATTTTTTTATTTTTTATTAAATTTCATTTTTTTCTCTTAATTTCCATTATTTTTTATTTGTTCTATTTTTCATTATATTTTACTCTTTTAATTTTCTTTTTTTATTTTTCAGAAAACTTGTATTAGTTCTTGTGGAGAAAAAACTAAAAACGATCATTTTTTTTCGAAAAGGATGATGAAAAAAACTATTATAGAAAATCTGTATTTTTAGAAAATAAAAATTGATAGTGTAATAGAAATCTCTAGTAGCAAAATGAAAGGAAATTGTAAAATAAAATACCATTTAGGCGGGATATTTTTAACTTTAGAGAGACAGCTGTTCAGTAACAAAATCCATTGGTGGATGCTTTCTCTAATACCAACGGACGTTGTCTAAATTAGGCACCCTATGTTTACAATTCAGTATTTTAGACCCCACGAAAGCTAACTAATTGAATCAGCTGATATTCGTTTCAAATTTTGTGTCTTGATTTTCAAAGGCTAAAAATAATTATTCAAAAGTAAAAAATGATTTTTAGAAATTTTGAAAATAAAAATTTAATTTTTAATTGATTACTTTAAAAATTACAGGGTTAATATAATTTAATTTTTTTATTCGATAAAAACTAAATTTATTTGTTAATTAGTAAATTAAATTGTTATTTCGTAAATAAATTTGTTAACTAGTTAATTAATTTGCTAATTAATAATTCAATTTGTCAATTAGTAAGTAAATTACTTTATATTTTAATTTATTAATTTGTAAATAAATTAATTAATTAATTTATCCGTCAATTAGAAAATTAATTCAGAAATCAAAAAATTAATTTGTTATCTATTAAATTAATTTGGTAATTAGTAAATTAATTTCTTAATTAGTAAGTAAATTTGTTAAATAGCAAATTAATTTGTTAAAAAGTAAATTAAATTGACAATTCGTAAATTTACTTCTTAACCAGAAAATTATTCGTTAATTAGTAAATTAATTTGCTAATTAGATTTTTTTTAATTAGTTAATAAATTTATATTAATTTGTTAGCTAATAAATTAGTTTTTTAAGTAGTAGTTTACTTTATTGAATTAGTTAATAAATTCATAAATCAAGGAATTAACTTGTTAGCTATTAAATTAATTTGCTAATTAAAAAATTAATTTTCTAGCTAATAAATAATTTTTCTAACTAGCAGTTTAATTTATTAAACAGAAATTTTAATTGTTAATTAGTAAATTAATTTATAAATTAGTAAACTAATTTGTTAGACAATAAATTAATTTTCTAATTATGTAAATAAATTTCGGAAGTAGTAATTAATTTCATAATTAGTCATTTACTTTATTAAATAGTAAATTAAATATTTAATTAATAAATTTAATAAAAAATTAAGAAATTAATTTTTTTTACTAGCAAATTAATTATTTTCTAGTAAGTTAATTTACTAATCGATAAGTTAACTTGCTGAATAGGAAATTGGATTTAATTATTAAATTTTATTAAACTTTAGAAAATAATTGAATTGTTTTGAAAAATTTTATAACGAATTAAGAAAAAAATTGATTTCTTATTTCGTGAAATTTTTTTGAAAAGTGTTGAATTTTTTCAAAGAATTTATTAAAATTTTAGAAAATAATTGAAATCTTTTCAAATATTTTATAACGAATTAAGGGCATTTGAACCTTGATGACGTTACACTTTGTGCAAAGCATGTGTGACGTCATCAAGGTTCAAATGCCCTTAAGAAAAAAATTGAACCCTTTCGTAAAATTTTTTTGAAAATAATTGAATGTTTGCAAAGATTTTACGATTTAAAAAAAAAATTGAATCCATTCATAAAATTTTTTTTAAAATAATTGAATTTTTGCAAAGATTTTACGATTTAAAAAAATAATTGAATTGTTTCCAAAGATTTCTTCAAATTTTAGAAAATAATTATTTTCGTTTGTCAAATTTTATTAAAATTTTGTTAAAAAATAATTGGATTTTTGCAAAAAATTTTACAATTTATAAAAATAATTGAATTCTTTCGAAGAATGTTATTATTTACGAAAATAATTGAATTCTTGCGAAGAATTTTATAAACATTTTTGAAATTAATTAACAAGTAAAATTAATGAGTAAATTAGTTAATAATTGACTTTTTTTAAAGTTTGAATCTGAAATTATTTAAAAATTCACATTTGAAAATAAAAAATGTTATAATTTGCAAAATAATAATAAATTGAATTGTTTAGTGAATTCAATTGTTAATTAGTAAATAAATTCCTTAGTTACCAATTTTATTTATTGAAAAGAAAAATAATTCATTAAGTTGTGAATTTTTTCGTTAATTAGTAAATCAATTTCTAAATCAAGAAATTAATTTTTTAATTAGTAAATTTAATTAATAAATTAATTTGTTAGTTATTAAATTAATTTATGATTTAGTAAATTACTTTGTTGAATAGTAAATTAATTTGTTGGCTATTAAAATAATTTCTGAAGTAGTAAATTAATTTTTCTAATTAGTAAAATAAATTGTTATTTAGTAAATTAATTTGTTAACTAGTAAATTAATTTTTTAAATAGTAAATTAATTTGTTAATTTGTAATTTTGTGTCTTAATTAGTAAATGAATTCCTTAGTTACTAATTTTATTTATTGAATAGGAAATAGATCATTAACTAGTAAATTTATTCATGAATTAGTAAATCAGTTAGTAAATTAATTTAAAATTTAGTAAATTACTTTTATGAATAGTAAATTAATTTATTAGTAATTAAATAATTTTTTTAGCTGGTAAAATAATTTCCTAACTAGTAAATGAATTTGCTAATTAGTAAATTAATTTGTTAATTTGTAAATTAATTTATTAATTAGTAATTTTATGTCTTAATTGGTAAATAAATTCCTTAGTTACCAATTTTATGTATTGAATAGAAAATAATTCATTAAGTAGGAAATTTTTTCGTTAATTAGTAAATCAATTTCTAAAGCAAGAAATTAATTTATTAATTAGTAAATTAATGAATTAATTTGTTAGTTATTAAATTAATTTGTGATTTAGTAAATTCGTTTGTTGAATAGTAAACTAATTTGTTGGCTATGAAAATAATTTCTTAAGTAGTAAATGAATTTGCAAGTAAATTAAATTGTTAATTCGTAAATTAATTTGCTAATTAGTAATTTTGTGTCTTAATTAGTAAATGAATTCCTTATTTACTAATTTAATTTAGTATAGGAAATAAATTCACGAAGTTGTAAACTTCTTGTAATTAGTAAATTTCATACAATTAGTTGAACAGTAAATTAATTTGTTAAAAGAAAAAATTATTTTGTAAATTAATAAAAAATGATGTTAATTAAGTAGTAGATTTTGTTTTTAGCAAATAAGTAATAAATTTCCTTTTTAGTAAATGAATAATTTAGTTTATTTAGTTTATTAATTAGTAAATAAAAGAAACTAATTTTTGCTCAATGAATTTCAGGCGTACGAGCTTTCAACGCTGACGGGAACGCAGGTGATGCTGTTGGTTGCAAGTGAAACCGGTCACGTTTACACGTTCGCAACGAGGAAATTGCAGCCAATGATAACGAGTGAAGCTGGAAAGGCATTGATACAAACGTGCCTGAATAGTCCAGATCCACCGCCATCGGGCTCATCGGGCGATCAACGAATGTCGGCGACTGGATTCGAGGAAACCGAATTGACGTACAACATCGCCGACGAGGAGCAGAAAGTAAGACAACTGGTGTATGGCTCACCACACGGGGGCGGTTTGCACGCCGGTTACGCGACGGCCGGCGGACCGCCAGGTTCGCAGCACGCGCCACCCCCGCACGCGCAACATGCCCAGCACGCGCATCTCATTGCGCATGCGCATGCTGGCTCACCAAGCTCGCACTTGGTACCTTGCTCGAGTCCTGGTCCCATGCTCGCCGGTGGACCCTATCAACAATCATGTCCCTCTCCCCTGCCGCCGCCGCACGCGAGTTACCATCCGCATATGTCGCATTCACACCCCCAGCGGTAGTAAAGGCTTTAGCCTTTACCAATCACCTTCTTCACTTTTCTTCACTTTTCTTCAATTTTCAACAGCTTTCAATTAACTGCTCACGGTTAGTTCTCATTTTTTTTTCCTTACTCTCCTTTATTTATTTATTTTTTTCCTTATTCTATATTTGTTGAAAAAAGGAATTATTTATCAATGGCTGGCCTCGGACTCACTATCACTAGTTTTTTTGACACTTTTCTTTTTTTTTTTAATTTGAGCAATTCCACGTGAACTGATCTAGTCGAAGAAATTCATTGTTAACGCGAGAGTTCGCCGATATTTTTAATATCAAAATATTTTTATGTCAAGAAAGTATATTCCATAAATATTTAAATATTTATTCCATAGAATTGTTTTTAAACTAATTTTTTAAAGGAGTTCAATCGTCATAGAATAAAATGGATAAGATAATATTCAGGGTGGATACATGTCAGAAAAGTCTGGGCAATGTCAAGAAAACAAATTTTTGTCAAAGTCAAGGAAATTAGAGGAAAAAATTTTTTATCAGGGAAATTAAGAAAATTGAGTCTTTTTTTGAATTCTTTTAAAAAATTGCGACTTTTTCAACTTTTTTTTCCAAATATTTTGCATAAAATACCACATTTTTTGTATAAAATGCAACTTTTTTTTTATTTTTATAATATGAAAAAGTAACTAAAAAAATGTGGCCATGCAACGTGACAAACTTGGAAATGTCAGAGAATTTTGTAAACCTTGAAAAAAACCTGGAAAAGTCAGGGAATTTTTGATCGAAATCCTGGAAAATTTTTGTTTTCTAAAGTTGTATTTCTTCTTGAAATCTAATTTCACTTCAATATTTCAAAATTTATTCAATTTTAAAAGAGTTACGTTTTCAATTTTCATAAGTAGATGAACTTGAAAAGATTTTAATTTAAAATGTTTGAAAATTTTAATTTTAAATGAAATTTTATTAGAAATTTTTAAAAACTTTAGATTTTTAAAAAATTTGAATAACTAAAATCCTTCTGAAATTAGTTACATTTTTTAATATATATTTAATTGATTATTAAAAATAATGGATTTATAGAAGAATTTTAGTTAAAAATTCTTTAAAAAAATATTGAATTTTGAAGCAATTACAAATGATTGCAGAAATTCAATTATTTTCAAAAGTTTTAATAAAATTCTTGCCACAATTTTAATTATTTTCAAAAACTTTCTTCCATTCAATGATTTTTAATATCTACTACTTTAATAAAAATTCTCAAAAGAATTCAATTAGTTAAAAAATTTTTAATAAAATTAAAAAACTTACAATTTTAATCGAATTCCTCGAAAAATGTTATTAAAAATTTTATTAAAATTTATCAAAGAAATTAAATTATTTTAAAAACTTTTAACCAATTTATTTATTACAATTTAAGTATTATTTTTTATAGATTTTTAATTAAATTCCTTCAAAGAATTAAATTATTTTCAATAATTTTAATGAAATTCTTTGTAAATTCAATTATTTTCAAAATAATTTTAATGGAATTTTTCGTAGAGAAATTTTCTTAATATCAAAAATTTGACAAAATTCAATTACTTTCAATGTTTACTATTTCAATAAAATTCCACAAAAGAATTAAATTATTTACAAAGAAATTTTAATAAAATTCGTCTCAAGAATTCAATTATTTTCAAAAATAATATAATTCTTCGCAGAAATTCAATTATGTTCAAAAATTTACAAAAATTCTCGTCAAAATTTGAATTATTTTTATAAATAATAAAATTCTTCTCCGAAATTCTATTATTTCCAAAAATTTCAATAAAATTCTTGGTAAAATTTAAATTATTTTTTATAAAATTTTCATCAAATTTCTCGAAAAATGAAATTATTCTTAAAAATTTTATTAAAATTTGCCAAGAAAATTCAATTATTTTAGAAATTTGTTGATAAAATTCTTTATGAAAATTGAATTTCGAAAAACATTCAATTATTTAATAAAATATTTATTTTTGTAGTTAAATAATTGAATTCTCGTAGAATTTTCTAATAAATAGGATTGATTTAAAAATTAATTTCAGTTAAAATTTTAGATTATAATTGAATATTAAAAGCATTATATCGGGGATTTTTATAAATAATTGAATTTTCAAAAGGTTTTAAAAATTAAAGTCTTTAATTAAGAATTCTGAAGAATTAATTTTTGTCAAAAAGTTTAATAGAATTTTTTTTTAATTATTTCTTGTTTTTTATTTCTAATAAATATTTAATTGATGAATGTCTGAATAATCGAAATTTCGTAAAATTAAATTGTAAACAAAAGGATTTGAAAATTCTCAAAGAACTTTTTCAAAAATAATTTTAAAAAATTGTCTTAAAGAAGAATTTTAGTTGAAAATTCTAGAAATGAATAATCGAAATGATTTGTAAGAAAAATAAAAATTCAATAAGGGTCAAAATATTTTTTGACCGATTGTATTTTATGGCTCTTTGAATTGTTCTCAAAAAATTACTATAAAAACAATTTTATGGAATATTTAAGTTATATTCTTGATATTATATTTAAAAATATCGGTAAACTTTCCCTTTAAGGGCCAAAATTGAGTTAACTTCTACTACAAAAATTATAGTCCCTAAAGTTCTAAACACGTGCAAATGAACAAAATTTATTTATTTCTTAATAATTCAAATTCAAATTTTACGGTAAAATTCGACAAAAAATTTCGTTCATTTGAATGTTTAAAACTTTTGAAGCATAAAAATTAAAGAGTTTTATTTTTTTTATCGTGAATCTTTGAATTTTTTGTGTACTTTTCAAAAGAAAAGAAGCCAAAAATCTTTCTTAAAGAAAAAAAAAAATGTTTTTTAACCTTCTCTTTGTTCCAAAATAAATCTTATTTCACATTTTTTTACAAAAACAACACATTTAAAATATTTTTTTTATCATTTTCGTCAGAAAGCTGAAATTTTTTCTGTAAAAATTCCAAAATAAGATTTATTTAATTATTTTTGCTAAACAAATTTAGATATTCCGAAGTAAATTTTGATAAAATTTAGTAAAAAAAATGTAGTTTGATCGTATCAAAATTTACTCCGAAGATATTATTTTGGTAAAATTTTTCTCATAACTTTGAATTACAAAGAAAGTGTCAAAATCTCAAATGTTTTATTTAAACAAAAAAAATGTTTCTAAATTGAGTCCGATATTGAGAATAGAAAAACATTTTATTAAAAAAAGGAAACCAGAATGAAGAATTTCTCTTTTATGGAATTTCTACTGCCCCAAATGTTAATTTGTATATTTTTTTATACAGTAGAATTTTCATTTAACCGAATTCTCTTTTCTGGTCTTTTATAGGGGAAGAATAAATTATTAAAGTTCTAAAAAAAAGTTTATTTAAACAAATTTTAACTTAGTGGAATTCTCATTTAACATTTAATTTTGGAACCGAATGTTGTAACTTGTTAATTAACCAAATTTAACGTTGACAACAAATTTATTTATTCGCATTTTTTAAATGCAAAAATTTCCATTTTCTGTCGAATTTGTATTTTATGTAAAAAAATAAAAATCAAGGGAACAAATTTTTGAACTCCTTTAAATTTTAATTTGTTATTCAAAATGAAAATGGAATTGAATTTTAAATTCTTTTTGGTGGAAGGGTGAAGAATTATTTTTGTCCGAAAATTTAAATAGAAATTACAATTTTCCATCACTATGAAACAATTCAAATAATGAAACCTAAAAAACGTTTCTTAAAGCAACATTTGAAAAATGAATTCATTTCCTTCCACAAAAATGAATCCACACTTTAATTTTTCTTTCTTTAAAATACAAAATTATATCAATTATGGAAATTTTTTTCTAAACTGAGAATTCGATCAAATTATAATTCACGATAATGGAAATTAAGAAAAAGTATTCTAAACTAACAGAATTTATTTATTAAATTATTATATTTTATTATATTAAATATTAAACGAATTTAATTAAATATTAGGTAAATTCTTTTAATATTTAATAAATAAATTCTTTTTTCTGTTTTGAGAAAAAAGATTTCTCGTCATTGAGTAAAGAATTGATTGGAAACGATTCTCGTTGAGTATAGTATATGTATAATATGATGTGAATTTAAGTAATCGAGAGCAGTTTGTTGAGATCTTGGAAGAAGGAACTTGAAACTTATTTTACCCAGTAGAAGCTTGGACTTTTCAGCCTCCCATCCGCTGGGTGTACTCTCTCGTCGTTAGTATTTCTGGGCAATTAAGGGGAGTCCGATGACCAAGCCTTAATTGGCTCTCTCTCCGCCTTTCGTACCGCTTTGACAAACTCGCAATGAGTCGATATATATACACCCGGTTTATTCGTCGGTGTGCTCGGGCTAATTATTTATTTAACCAATATAAAAGAACGTCACGTGTGGTGCGGTGCGATGCGTTTTATACACGAGAAATCAGGCGCGTAGGATCTTCCACGATTTAAGTGGATCGCACCGTGATTTTTATTTTACTAGAGAAAGTATAATATTATTGACAGCAGTCTTACACAGTTTTTCCTCTTTCCCCTTTTTTCTCAATTTTCTTGTCAATTTTGTTGTCAATGAATTTTTATTTATTTTCTTTTTTCATTCTTTTTCTCATTTATTTTTTTTTCTCTTACTTTTTTTCTCATTTTTCTTTTTCTTTTTGATTTTTTCTCCCTTTTCTTTGTTTTAACTTATTTCTTCTTTTT